AATTAGCCTGGCGAAGGACCCAACCATATGCAGTTGGAAATACCGTCGTTGTTAATATCGTTTTCGGTGGAGTTCCTTATAGGGCCACGAAGCGTGAGAAGAGTGTACCGAGATGGCGGTGGACCGCCATGTGGGCGCTGCCACTAAAGCCTGAAGTGGAGACACCCTCTATGGGGCTACACAACGTGTCAGGCGTGTGCCGAAATTGTGTAGGGCCGCCACGCAGGCGCTGCCACTGGGGCCTTCGGTGAAGCCCCCTATGGCGCCACGAAACGTGTGAGGGGTGTGCCGAAATGGCGGTGGAACCGCATGCGAACTTTGCCACTAAGGCCTTCGGTGGAGCTCCCTATGGCCTATGGGGCCACGAACCGTGTGAGAGGTGTGCCGAAATGGCGGTGGAACCGCATGCGAACTTTGCCACTGGGGCCTTCGGTGGAGCTCCCTATGGGGCCACGAACCGTGCGAGGAGTGTGCCAAAATGGCGGTGGAACCGCATGCGAACTTTGCCACTGGGGCCTTCTGTGGAGCTGCCTACGGGGCCACGAACCGTGTGAGAGGTGTGCCGAAATGGCGGTAGAACCGCATGCGAACTTTTCCACCGAGGCCTTCGGTGGAACTCCCTATGGGGCCACGAACCGTATGAGGGGTGGGCCAAAATGGCGGTGGAACCGCAGGCGAGCTTTGCCACTGGGGCCTTCGGTGGAGCCCCTATGTGGCCACGAACCGTATGAAGGGTGGACCAAAATGGCGGTAGAACCGCATGCGAACTTTGCTACCGGGGCTTTCGGTGGAGCTCCCTATGGGGCCACGAACCGTGTGAGAGGTGGGCCAAACTGGGGGTGGAACCGCGTGCGAACTTTGCCACTGGGGCCTTCGGTGGAGCCCCCTATGAGACCGCGCACCGCGTGAAGGGTGCGCCGACATGGGGGTGGAACCGCATGCGAGCTTTGCCACTGGGGCCTTCGGTGGAGCTCCCTACGGGGCCGCGAACCGTATGAGGGGTGTGCCAGAAAAGGGGTGGAATCGCATGCGAACTTTGCCGCTGGGGCCTCCGGTGGAGCTCCCTATGGGGGCACGAACCGTGTGAGGGGTGTGCCGAAATGGGGATGTTCATGTGAACTTTGCCACTGGGGCCTTCGGTGGAGCTCCCTACGGGGACACGAACCGTGTGAGGGGTGGGCCAAAATGGCGGTGGAACCGCATGCGAAATTTGCCACTGGGGCCTTCGGTGGAGCTCCCTATGGGGTCACGATACGTGTGCGGGGTGTGCCGAATTGGGTGTCGATGATGGTGACGACAACGGCGTTAACGGCGATGATGATGGCGATGATGGTCATGATAAAGATGATGACATGATGACGACGACGATGGCGACAATGATGATGATGACGAAGGTGACGGTGGTGATCACAATGGTGGTTCTGGTGACGGCCATGATGTTGATGATGATGACGATGGTTATGAGGATGATGCTGATGAGGATGACGATGCTGATGACGATGGTGATGATGACGATGATGACGGTGTGGATGAGGATGATGATGCAGATGGTATGCTGATGGATGATGGGTGATGGTGATGATGTGACGATGATGCTGATGATGGAGAAAGGGAGGGGAGGTAGCAGGAGGAGAAGGAAGGAAGGAGGACGCGGGCGCTGCCTCTTCAAAACGAGGACCCAACACCACAGGATGGTTGGGAAGATCGATGAAATCAAGATTTTGAACTCTTCGGGCCCTCTCGGGACGCCTCTCGGGGGTCTCCTCGGGCCTCTTAAAGCCTTTTGGTTAGCTGTTCGGCGCTCCTGGGGGCCTGGGAAAGCCGTCGGAAGACTTTCCTGGGCTCCTTGACAGCGTCTAGGGCGGATTGTCTTGCGTTCTGGGGACTCTTTGGGGGCGTCTTGGGCCGTCCTGGGGCGCTTTCTGGCCTCCCTGGGAGGCCCGAAGGCGTGGTACTTGGAGTGCCCCCCCCCCCCCCCCCCAGATGTTCTGAAGGTATGAGACGCTCCTGGGGGGGGGGCGTATTCGTGTGTGTATATATATATATATGTGTATATATATATATATATATATATATACGTACATATATATACACACAAGACTTGAAGCTCGCCGCGCGCTTCGCTTTAAAGTCTTGGTGCGGTGCATTGTCAGGGGCAAAGGAGGGAGGACAAACAGGCGTATTGGGCCGAGGCGCAGCTACATGTGCAGGCAATTGGGGCCGCAAGAAACGGCAAAGCACGTGGGGTGATGGAAACAGGGGTGCGCGTTCGACGACGGTCATCTAGAAGTGGCCCGCGGTTTTCTGGAACAGTTTGCGGGGCCTTTCGGCATTGGGTTTGTTTGGGTCGACGTTGCCGTCGTCTTTGTTCGGTTTCGGAAGAGCCCCAGAGACGATTCTGCCTTGTGCCTCGGAACCTGCGATGCAAAGGCTTAGCCAAGGAACTGTTCCAAAAATCTCCCCGTCATTTTTTGTCGTCCGGTGTTTGCCTCCTGGTCGAGCGTTCTGCATTGGCTGGGATGGTGTCCTACTGCATGGTGCGCGAGACGAGTGCGCTCATGGGCGGCGTGGGTCCAAACGACACCTTCGACGGGGCCAACGAAGTTGTGGGCAACGGCAAAGCACACCAGCTGGTGGACGACGCTCGCGAGCCCAAACTGAAATGTGCGCACGAGCAGGCGCGCAGGCGGGCGGGCAACGGGGACGGTTGCCAGAACGTCCCAAGAATCGCCCTTTTATGGCTCACTCGTCTAAATTTCCTATGGTTGGAGAAAGACGCAATTGCCTCGGAAAGGTGCCTGGGAACTGTTTGTGCACTGCGTACGCGTACGACGAGATGATGATGGCGCGGTCGCGCCGGAGAGACCATCCTACTGGGAGGGAAAAAAGGGGGTGGGTTGTCGCGCTGACTGCGCATCGGCAAGAGCAAGAAGGTGAAAAGGGTAGTGGAGGCCAGCGGATGCGCGCGGGTGCGGCGTCCCTCAAGCCGCGCGTCAGTTCTTAGCCCTCTTGGCCGGCTTCTTCGTGACGGCGGCCCCGGTGGTGGCGCCCGCCGGGTGCTTCGTCATCGTCGTGGTTACCGCTGGCGACGACGTGGTCAAGGCAGATGGGACGGCGTCCACCATGGGCGTGTTCGGGTCGCACGTTGACCGCGTGATGTACTGCGGGCACTTCTTCTGCAGGCTGCGCAATGGCGCGAGGCTCTTCTCGGGGATGTTCTTGGCGACGACGAGGCAGAAATTGTGCAATTCCTTCACCGTGCGATCGGTGCCGTCGAGCATCTTGAACGACCGAGTGAGCTGGACGCGGTTCTGCTGCTGGACGCTGGAGACCTGGAAACCGTTGTGCTTGCCGCAGAACGGCTTCCAGCAGCAACGAATGATCAGAACGGTCATCGTGCCGGCACACAATGAACGTCACATCGGAATTCCAAGGAGGAATGTTGGGCCCGGAAGGCCATCCAGATTCGATCGAATGGCGTTCGGCCCAGCGGGCCACCGTGTCTGGGTCGTGGGTATGAAGCCTCATGGATGTCCTGGGCCGGCACGGAAACGGAAAGAGCGGCTTTTTGGGGGCTTGCCCGAGCGCTTGTCGCTCTTGGGAGCCTTGGTGTGAAGGGCTGGTTGCGTCACCGCTCGCTCTTGGGAGCCGTGGTTGTCAGAGATAGTGACGTTGCCGCTCGCTATTGGGAGCCTGGGTTGTCAGAGTTTGTTCTGTCACCGTTCGCTCTTGGGAGCCTTGTTGTGCAGAGCTTTTACGTTACCGATCGCTCTTTTCTTTGGCGTCTATGGGCCTTCTTAGTGCTCCTTTTCGGGTTGATTTGGGGGCTACCGATCGCTCTTTTCTTTGGCGTCTCTGGGCTCCTTTAGTGGTTTTCGGAATCTGAAGGAGTTCTTTTGCCTATGTGGGACCCTTTGGGGCCGTCTTGGGGCGCTTTTGGTTGGGCCGTCTCGGGGCGTCTTGGAGGCCTTGACTCGTCTTGAGGCTCGTGGCTCCCTGGGGCCCTCCTGGGGATCTCTTGGGGCCTCTTGGGGCTGTCTTGGGGCCCTCTTGGGCCGTCTTGGGCGCCTCTTGGGCCGTCTTGGCGCCCTCTTGGGCCGTTTTGGGAAGCCTCTTTGGAGCCTCTTGGCCCGTCTTGGGGCGGTCTTGGGGGCATCTTGGACCATCTTCGACGCCGTGAAGGGCGAAAAGTCGTACATGCTGAAAATATACGTTTTCCGATTGAAAATCAATGATTTGGGCCTCTTGGGGCCCTCTTGGGAAGCTTCTTGGCTGCCTCTTGAGGCGTCTTGGAGGCCTCATGGGCTGTCTTGGGGGCATCTTGGGCGTCTGGGAAGGGTATTTGGGTGTTTCGGGGCCGTCGTGGACTGTTTCCGGTTTTCTCCTGGAGCTTTTCGGGGCCTTCAGGGACGGGCCAGAGAAGAGCCTCCGGGGCCTTTGGGACCGCCAGATTCTATGGGGGTGGTGGTGTTGGCCATCCCTGGTGTGAGATACTTAAGCTAGGACTATATATATATATGTATGTATATATAGATATATGTATATGTGTATGTATGTGTATAGTATACATAAACGTATATGTATATGTATATGTCTATGTATATGTATATGTATATGTATATGTATATGTATATGTATATGTATATGTATATGTAAATGTAAATGTAACTGTAAATGTACATGTAAATGTACATGTACATGTAAATGTAAAGGTATATGTATATGTATATGTATATGTAGATGTAGATGTATATGCATATGTATATGTATATGTATATGTATATGTATATGTATATGTATATGTATATGTATATGTATATGTATATGTATATGTATATGTATATGTATATGTATATGTATATGTGTATGTATATGTATATGTATATGTATATGTATATGTATATGTATAGGTATATGTATATGTATATGTATATGTATATGTATATGTATATGCATATGTATATGTAGATGTATGTATGTATGTATATATGTATATATATATAGGTACGCATCACTTTCGCGGAGGGTTCTCCAGAGCAACACCAAAAATGCTGGAGAACTTCCTGCTCCGATGACGGGCGCGCCTCTTCAGGCTCTCCGGAGGGTTCTCCGTTGGCCACGATCGCCCGCCGGGGCGGCCCTCGGCCGCCTGTGCCGCAGGCTGCCAGTCGGGCCCGCGCCAGCGGAGTGTGCCTCTCCCAGGCAGAGGCCTGCAGAGCCATGGGACCTCCGGGCCGCGGTCCTCCAGTCCGAGCAGGCCGCGTCAGCTTCCCGTGAGCGGAGCAGCAGGGCCCGGTGATGCAGGCCGCTGGCCATGATCGCCTGCCGGAGCGGTGCCGGGCTGCCTGCGGCGCAGGCTGCCACTCGGGCCCACGCCATCGGGGTGCCCTTCCCGCGCAGAGGCCTGCAGAGCAGGTGGTCCTCCTGTCCGTGGTCCTTCCGTCCGAGCACGCCGCGGCGCCTTCGTGACGTCGTGAAGCTTGACCCTGACCGTCCACTCGCTGATGTCGAGGGCGGCGCTGTTGTGGTCGACGCTGAGCTTAACCGTAGCACGGAGCCTAGAGCTCCGGTGGCTTGTGCCTTTACGAGGCCGCTTCAAGTACACGCTCTGGCATTCCCACGTGGCAGTGAAGTCACCTCTGAACGCACTGTTACACACTATCTGCGCCTGCGTGATGAATGTCTCCGCGTCGACCAACAAATCTAGCAGCCTGATCTCGACCTCGGGCAGTCCGACTAGTGAGGCAAAATGACGAGAGCACTCGGTGACAGGGTAGCCGTCTTCGAGCACCTTTAAAGGAACAAACAACTACACACCATAAACTTTCGGAGGTCAGCGCAGATTTCTCGGACCAAGAGCGGCGCTGGAAGCGCCGCCACGGGGCTCCAGCGCCCGTCCAAGAAGTCCAACGCGGACCTCCGAAAGTTGAAGTTTGTGGTGTCATTTCTACGTCGAACCTTGATGTACACGTCCATATCCTCGAGCACGTCGACCTCATCCGAGGACTCCTCGATGCTCTCGACGGAGGCCGTCTTCGAGGGAGGCCTGATCTGCCCCCTCTCGCTCCTGTCGGCAAAGCGCAAGACTCGAGATTTAGATGGCTCGAACTGGCCTAACGGGGCCGACAGCACAAAGGCAGGATCTAGTCTGGGACGCAGAAGGGCATACTGGTGCTTAATGGGCCCTGGAAACGACAGGGCCGTTTTGTTACCGGTTCCGTTTTGCCGTTTTTTGGACGGTTCCGACGCCGTTTTTGCACCGGTTCCGTCGCCGTTGTTCGACCGGTTCCGGCTCCGGTTCCAATCCAATCCTGGAGCCGTTTTTGTTGCCGTTTCCGGTCGCCGTTGTTTTGCAGTTTCCATTTTCAAGGGACATTTTTTGGGAAACGGTGAACAAACGGCCCTGCCGTTTCCGGGGCCCACAAAGTACTGGTGCGATGTTCCTCTGTTGGAGACGCACGTCCGACCCGAAGCTGAGTATAAGGTCTTGCAGTGGAAAGTTCCCCGAGCGGTACTTTCGGGAGCGGCCAAGGAGGGGGGTGTCCAAGAGGGGGGGGGTGCAAATCGTGACCGGCGGCATGTGCGCGGCCCAGCGGGGGGGCCAGGGACGCATTGAAACAAGAAGAGGCGCCATGACATCTGGGGAGATATCATGGCCCTCGCCATGATACCCCCCCCCCCCTGGTCGTCACCCCCCTCTTTTCCGCCCCCGATGCTTCTGGCCAGTCGGCGCTTGCCGCGGAGCCTCTACTGTAGGAGGTCCGAGCATGCCCGCCGCCCGTGCGTGGCCGACGCAGATCTACAGTGCAAGCTCGGATGCTGCCGGGCAGCTGAGCTTTGACGCGAGCTCCCGCTGCAAACAACTCACAGATTTGGACGCCCGAGATGGGTACGGACCGAGAAATGGGTACAATGCCAAACAACAGTTCCTGTTCATTTTGAACACGACTCGCTGTCGGTGTCGCCGCGGCCTGTGTCCCTTTGAGACAGGAGGCCTCCTGCCCAACAGCGGCCGCTGTCGGTTTGGGACAACATTTGTTGTTGGGCATTGTACCCATTTTTTCCGTACCCATTTCGGGCGTCCAAAACAGAGGCCGGGCCGCCAAGACTCGGGCCCGTGCCCGGACCGTCAAGGCTAGCGGCGGCGGGCCCGGGTTCTGGGAACGCCGAGCCTCGCCAGGGGAATCAACACCAACGGGTGAACTTTGAGGTGTCCGCGCGGATCCCTCGGAGCGGCGCTGGACCCTCCTGGCGGCGCCTCCCGCGCCGCCCCTGGCGCGCTCCGCGAGCCAGGGAGGGGGGTCGAGCACCGATCCGAGACATCCGCGCGGACCTCCGCAAGTATGTGTGTATGTAGTCCCCCACCGACAAGCTGGGGATGTTGGACTCCAATAAAGAGCTGCCGACCCGCCTCGCACACCCTGCACATTTACCGCGGCCGCCAGGCCGCAGTGGGCCCAGTGCTCCCCAGGCTACCCCGAAGCAAAACCCTACCAATTCTTCTTCAGCTCGCGCTTCCCCGATCCTGGTCCGGTACCTCACCACCTTGGTGTCGCGCAGCTCCATCATGGCCGTCCACGGCTCGGCGTCCGCGTCGCTGCCACTGTGCAGCACCGAGAGCACCGCCTCCGCGCTCAGCTCCTCGCCGAGCCGGTGCAGGTGCGGCGGCCGGAGCCGCACGCGCACGGACCGCCTTGGGCACGCGACCGGCCCCGTGCGCAGGACGCTGCCGCCGAGCTCTCGCACGCACTGGAGGAAGCTCTCCGTGCTGACGACCCACTCCAGCAGCCTGGCCGCCCCCCCCCCTTGCCAGAGCTCGGGCCTCGCTCGGGCCCCGAGAGAGTGCCTGGTGTCTGCGCGCCCAGGCGTCTTCGTGTGCGAAGCTGGGCTCCCTGGCGCGAACGGCCGAACGACCCCCGTCGCGGGACACTCCGGCGACGCGGTAGGCCGCCTCGAGAACAATCGATACAACGCTGGCCGCGCACAGGCGCCCGCGCAGCGCTCAACTGCGACTCCGTGCGCGCCCCTCGCCGCAAGAGGATCCCCATCCGAGGCGCTCCTCGGGGGGGCCCTCGCCGGGGAGGACACGCGCGCACGCGCCCGAGCCGTGCCTGGGGATACCAGAAGGCACCGACACCGCTTCTGTGCCCCGACCTCTCCTGGCGTGCGCTGTGGCCAGCACTCCGCGGCGAGCCCGGCGGTGGCGGCGAGGGCCTCCCAGCCTAGGCCCCAACAGGGGGCAACGAGGGAAGGGCAGCGGTCCCAGACATCCGACGTCTCGATTTTGTTCGAGACACGGGCCCCCGACCTCCCGACCACTTCCCCGGGACCGGCTTTTCATCCCGAGTCGTTTTCTGACGGTCCCGAGGCCCAGCGAGGACCCCGGGAGGCCGAAGAGGACGAAAAACCTCCGTCCCGATGTTCTCGAGACGCCCGAGGTCTGAGACGCTCGACCAGCCCTCCTCCCCCCTCCCTCCTCCTCCTCCTCCTCCTCCTCCTCCTCCTCCTTCTGCTCCTCCTCCTCCTCCTCCTCCTCCTCCTCCTCCTCCTCCTCCTCCTCCTCCTCCCTCCTCCCTCCTCCTCCGCCTCTGCGTGCCAGGGCCCCACGGGCACGGCGCGAGGGCGGCGCGGCGCGGCGCGCAGGCCTCAGCGCGGCGCGGCGGGCGGCACGGCACCGGCACGCGCGAGCACGGCACAGCGCGGGCGGCGCGGCGCGGCGCAGACCGCGCGCGAGCACGGCGCGGCACGCGTGCGGCGCGGGGGGGCCACGGCGAGAGGGGCTAAAACGACGCGAAGATCGGGACAAAATCGGATCGGGATAACTCGAAATCTCTGAGAATCGGCGGGCTTGGAGGATGCATTGGGCGCCGCGGCCGCTCCAGAGCGTTCCGGAACGCTCTGAGAGCGCTCCGGAACGCTCTGGAGCGATTTATCCCGATCCTAGCCCTGTTTTAAGGGGCCCGAAGAGTGGAGGAGGCCCTGGCCGGCGCAGGCCCAGCCGACGCTGCGGTCCCAGACCCCTTCGGGCCATGAGCACAAATCATGACGGGAGGCTCGTCTCAATTTTCAGCCTCCGGGGGGCCCTCACCGGGCCTCGGGGCCGTCAGAAAGCGGCTCAGGATGAGAAACGGGTCCTGGGGAATGGGTCGAGACCTCTGGGGGTCGACGTCATGAGAAAATCATGACGTCGGGGGTCTGGGGTAGGCGCTCGGCCACAAGAAACCTTCCACGAGAAACACAAAACCCAACCCTGAGACCCCAGGGCGTGCACTGATGTTCTGGGGCGGGAGCGTCACGCTCTCCAGAGCAACACCATCGAAAACTCAAGAAGCCCAGGGCACCCTGGAGGCGAGCAGTGTGTCTCTTGGCATGAGTCTCCACAGTAGCCCAAGGCCGACACCGACCCCACCAGCGGCGATGACCTGTTGGGCGTCGCTTCACTTGGATAGGGAGCAAGAGGATGAAGGAGAAGGAGGGAGGAAGGGAAGAAGAGGAGGAGGTGGAGGCAGAGGAGGAGGGAGGGGGAGGGAGAGGAGGAGGAGGAGGAGGAGGAGGAGGAGGAGGAGGAGGAGGAGGAGGAGGAGGAGGAGGAGGAGGAGGAGCACGAGGGGTGTGGGGGGGGGAGGTGCGCCCCTCGGGCCCGAAAGGCCCCCAGTTGGCTTCTGTGCCTGAGCAGGCCCCTTCAGGGGCCCTGATGTGCCCCTGTTTTCTGCAGCCCTCGCTGCCCCCTCTCAGCCATCGCCCCCCCGTCACGCGATGCCCAAGCTGAAGGGGCCCAGGGCCACACAAACAAATAGACACAAATAAAAGGATCCCCCATAGTTTCCCATATGTTCTGGGTTTGTGTCTTCCCCCCCATTTCCCATATTTTCGCAGATTTCCTGGGGAATCGACGACCCATTGTGTCTGTGTGTTTTTGTTCCCTCCTGACAAGCCTGCACTCTTGAGCCCCATGAGAATCACCGCGCGCAGGTCACCACCGCTTCGGGGCCGGGGTCGGCCTTGGGCTCCCTCGGCCCAGCGCCCACGAAAGATTGGGGCCCAGAGCATGGAACCCCAAGGGGAAGAAGCCCTGACCGGTGCACGTTCACCGGACAAACCCCCTGCTGCTGTCGTCGGGGCCGCGCCTCTCCGGGCCCCACCCTCGGGACCCCTGCACATCGGAGCGGGGCCGGTGGAGACAACGGCAACTCGAAACCGGTCCCCAGACCCTCCCGGGGTGCAAACGCACCACCCAGAGATCCGATGTCGCGATTGTTTCCATGCGGGGTCCCTGGCAGTCTCGACCCATTACCCAGGACCGTTTTCTCATCCTGGGTCGTTTCTTGACCGTCCCGCGGCCCGGCGAGGGCCCCCAGAGGCCGACAATTGGAAAAAGCCTCCCGTCTTGTTTCTGTTCAGTGCGTTGGATCTCTGGGCAATTCTCCGAGCCGCGCCCAGCCGTGGCGACGAGGGCCCCCCCAAAGGCCAACTACAACCGCATCGGCTGGCTCTCTTTTGGCGGACAGCCTCGTCCCGTGGGTCGACGGTCCGCTCAGCAGCGTGAAGCCGGCGGAGCAGCTCTCCACGGGGTAGCCGGCCTCGAGGCGTGGGGTTAGGTCGGGCATCCCCCTGCAGGGGGACTTTGGACGAAAAGTAAAAAACTCAAACAATTAGCCTGGCGAAGGACCCAACCATATGCAGCTGCGAATACCGCGAGGGAAATGAGACGAAGGAGGGGGGCACGCAAACTACAAGTGGCGCGAGGCATGGCCCCTGTTGTCATGGGCACTGCGCCACAGCACGGACGAGGCGCAAGACAGCGCGGGCAGGAGGTGGCTGGAGAAGGAGGAGAGCTCACTGGGCGATCCAACACATCAGTATCATCATCGCATCGTCAGACCTGTTACTGGGCACGCAGGAAGATGTTACGGAGAAGCCGCGCAAATGTCAGGGGCAGGCCAGCAACGGCAGAGACGAGACCGGGGGGCCCGCGGTCAAGAAGCAAAAGGAAGCAAGAGGAGCGAGAGACGAGGGGTGACATTTTTGCCTCCGCCATTCGGCTGACGATGGGTTACCACCGCCAGCCCGGATACAAGGGTTTCCCCCTGCACCCGATTCGGCCGAGGATGGGTTACCACCCCCGGCCCAGACGCAAGGGTTTCCCCCTGCGCCCGGCCGCCGTCGTCCTCCTAAATTCCTGTTCCTCCTCCTCACATCATGGGTCGCGCGAGTCGCCCTCCGAAGAGCACAACGGTGACGACAGCTACGATAACTGAATATTCGTTCGGTTTCGAACATGAAGCTGCGGGCCCCACAGGCGCCCCGCATGCAGGCGCAGCCACTGGGGCCTTCGATGGAGGGTTTCCCCCTGCGCCCGGCCGCCGTCGTCCTCCTCAATTCCTGTTCCTCCTCCTCACATCATGGGTCGCGCGAGTCGCCCTCCGAAGGGCACAACAGTGACGACAGCTACGAGAACTGAATATTCGTTCGGTTTCGAACATGAAGCTGCGGGCCCCACAGGCGCCCCGCATGCGGGCGCAGCGCCTGGGGCCTTCGATGGAGCTCCCTGTGGGACCACAAAACGTTCCTGGGTGGGGCCTTCGGTGGAGCCCTCTATGGGGCCTTCGGTGGAGCTCCCTATGGGGCCACGAAACGCTGCCCTGGGTGGGGGAACCGCATGCGGGCTGTGCCACTGGGACCTTCGGTGGAGCTCCCTATGGGGCTACGAAACGCTGCCCTGGGTGGGGGAACCGCATGCGGGCTGTGCCACTGGGACCTTCGGTGGAGCTCCCTATGGGGCCACGAAACGCTGCCCTGGGTGGGGGAACCGCATGCGGGCTGTGCCACTGGGACCTTCGGTGGAGCTCCCTATGGGGCTACGAAACGCTGCCCTGGGTGGGGGAACCGCATGCGGGCTGTGCCACTGGGACCTTCGGTGGAGCTCCCTATGGGGCTACGAAACGCTGCCCTGGGTGGGGGAACCGCATGCGGGCTGTGCCACTGTGACTCCCTATGGGGCTACGAAACGCTGCCCTGGGTGGGGAACCGCATGCGGGCTGTGCCACTGGGACCTTCGGTGGAGCTCCCTATGGGGCTACGAAACGTGTGAGGGGTGTGCCGAGAGCAGAGGCAAGGAGGGGGAGGAGGGAGGAGGGCGAGGAGGGGGAGGAGGAGGAGAGGAGGTGGGACGCGAGAGGAGGATGGTTGGGACGCGGGGCGCTGTCTCTTCAAAACGAGGACCCAACACCACAGGATGGTTGGGAGTAATCTAACATAGCAAACACGAGAATCCAGTCGAGCGGGACACGCTAGCGCGCACCTGCGAGTGAGCGCAGCTAAAACGCGACCTGGAAAGGGAGAGGCGAGGGAGAGAGAGAGAGAGAGAGAAAGAGAGAGAAGGTACTGTCTTCTGCCCTGCCCCTTGCTTTTCTCTCCTCCTCCACCTCCTCCTCCTCTAACTCCTCTTCCTCCTCCTCCTCCTCCTCCTCTTCCTCCTCCTCCACCTCCACCTCCTCCTCCTCCTTCTCCTCCTCCTCTACCTCCTCCTTCTCTACCTCCTCCTCCTCCTCCTTCTCCTCCTCTTCCTCCGCTTCCTCCGCCTCCTCCTCCTCCTCCTCCTCCTCCTCCTCCTCCTCCTCCTCCTCCCTCCTCCGCCCGCCCCATGTCCCGAGGCTGCGGCAGGGTCATCAGCTCGCCGTTGTCGTTTTGTCGTCGTGGTCGTCATCGTGGTCGTCGTCGTCGTCGTCGTCCTTCTGGGTCGGCGGCACAGGCCGTGAGGCCTTCACACTAAATAACTATCAAACAATAACCAAACATAGCTAACAAATGCTAGAAAAATCGTCCGCTGAGTATTTTTGGACTTTTTTGGAATCTTCCTCCTGAAGAGGGACAGGCCCGACTTAACCGTAGGAGCAAAAAACGGCTCTCACATGATGTCCTGGAAGTCTGCGGAGACTTCTTGGCTCGGCGCTGGACCCCCCCTGGCACTCGGAGGCGCCGCCGGGGAGTGCCCAGCGCCGGTCCAAGGAATCCGTGCGGATCGTCGAGGACTTCTGTGTGTTGTCACTGTTTGTTCGTCGCCCGGGGTACCTGGAGATCCGACGTCGTGATTTTTTCAATACGGGGTCCCCAGAAGTCCCGACCGATTCCCCAGGACCGGTTTTTAATCCTGAGTCGTTTTTTGACGGTCCCAGGGCCCGGCGAAGGCCCCGAGAGGCGAAAAACAGCGAAAAACCTCCGTCTTGTTTTTTCCATACGTTGGATCTCTGGGCAGCTGGCCTCGAACAGCCGGAAGTACACGACGAGGTCCCCGCGGTGGTCCTCCAGCTGCAGCGTCCTCACGCTCTCCGCGTCGGAGGGCGTGTGCTCCGCAGGCGGCGCCAGGACCAAGGAGTCGTGCTGAGACCGCGAGTCTGGAGGCACCCTGAAAGACTCCGCGTCCTCCCGCACGCCCACCTGAGGTTACAGTCGGGGCCTTGACCTAAGGAACCCCAAATAAGGAACAAGGCCCCTTTTTTCCATAAACTAAACTTCGATTTCCGATCGAAAACATAAGGAAAACCTGAGGCAAGCTGCGAAACACTTAAGGAACGCGGAGCCCCTCCCCAACGAAAAGGGTTCCTTCTTCAGGGCCCCGACTGTACACTGCCCAGGAGGACGAATGGAACTTGAAACTTCCAAATGTTGTCCTCGTCGCCCTCGGCTTGTCGCCGCCTTTTGGCCTCCGGGGGGCCGTGTTTCGGGACCCAGGGCCGTCAGAAACGGGCCAGGGATGAAAAAGTACCCCCACGACAGTCCCTCGGACGCTTTTTTAGCACGACATGCAAAAGTTGTATTACTTTTCCGATGGGGTGCAGGATGCTGCACGCTTATGGAAGGTTCGGATGCGACCGACTCCTGCGGCTCTGCGCGGAATCACGCTGGCTCTCGACACCAGATGCACCAGCGCCGATGCGGCATTGAGGCTCCCAGGAGCTGCATCCTCACTGCGGGGAGCCAAGACTGCTTGGGGCCCCTCCCCCTGCCCGCTTGGGGCCCCTTCCCTGCCTCTGGCCTCCCCCCTCCTCCTCCTCCTCCTCCTCCTCCTCCTCCTCCTCCTCCTCCTCCTCCTCCTCCTCCTCCTCCTCCTCCTCCTCCCTCCTCCTCCTCCTCCTCCTCCTCCTCCTCCTCCTCCTCCTCCTCCTCATCCTCCTCCTCCTCCTCCTCCTCCTCCTCATCCTCCTCCCAGGAGTGGCATCCTCACCGAGGGGAGCCAAGACTGGCTCTGGGCGGGGAGGAGCGCTCCGCCTGGCCTAACCTGGGCAGGCTGGGGCCTGCGGGCTCCGCTCGGCGAGGACTGGGCGATCGTGAGCGACGCTCGACGCATCCCTCCCCCTGTGCCCGCGGGCCTGCAGGGCACATCGGGCGCCACGGCCGCCCCATAGAGTGACACCGGAACGCTATACCTCGGTGGGCTCCAAGGAGCGCCCTGGAGCTGCTTGGCGCTCGGCCTGAGCCTGCCTGGTGCGAGCCAGTCCCAATCAGACCCCCGATGTCTCGCGCCGCGCCTCCTCCTCCTCCGCCTCCTCCTCCTCCTCCTCCTCCTCCTCCTCCTCCTCCTCCTCCTCTCCTCCTCCTCCTCCTCCTCCTCCTCCTCCTCCTCCTCCTCCTCCACTCCTCCTCCTCCTTCTCCTCCTCTCCTTCCTCCTCCTCCTCCTCCTCCTCCTCCCTCCTCCTCCTCCTCCTCCTCCTCCTCCTCCTCCCTCCTCCTCCTCCTCCTCCTCCTCCTCCTCCTCCTCCTCCTCTTCTGTCATAAGTCGCCGCGCCGCTTGTTCTCGACGCGCACAAGCGGACGACGCCGACACCACAGCTAACCCACGGCAGAGACGCAGCCGGCGCCGCGGCAAATCCCACGGCAAGCCCTGCATCCGAGGCGGAATTTGCCCTGGTGGCTGAGGCGCCCTCCCCAAGGCGGAAGGCAGCGCGTCGGAACAAACAGCGCGGCGACATAATGCGGGATGACGATTAATAAAAAAGATGGGGGGGAACGATTAAAAAATGGTTGTCCGTTATTTCTGCATAATTTTCTGACCGGAGGAGAACGATTCAAAAAATAGTGTTCCAGCCCGCGGCCAGTTTTTTCTAATCGTCATCCCGGGCGCCGCCGCGTGAACACGACCCCCGGTCATTTATTAATCGTCATCCTCCATTACGGTGTCCCCGGAGATCTGGACCACTTCCCCGGGACCAGCTTTCCGATTTGAGTTGTGCCATGACGGTCCCAGGCCCCAGCCGAGGCCCCCAGAGGCCAAACACGGCGGAAGAAAGACGTGCTCACTTTTCGTAAAGACGTTGGAGATCTGCCCCCCCTCCGCGTCGGCGCCCCTGCCCACCACGTGGAAGATTTGATCGTCGAAGTCCTGGCCGCATACGTGGAAGAGTTGCACCTAACCGGCCTCGAACGTACCCCCATCCCTAAGACCGCCGACCCAACGTGTGAAGACAATCTCAAGCATGCGTCCTCAGACATTTATGTAATCCGTGAGATCTGCATCGAGATGAGGCGATGCCATTATAGGGATAAGGATGCGTTCCAGGCTGGTAAGCACCGGCACAGCGGCGTCGACGGAGTCCCTCAGGGACGTGTGCAGCATAGCGGCGCCGGGAGCGTCGCGGAGGAGGAAGCCCCGCGCACGCTCGGACTCCGCCCCGCAGGTGAAGAAGTCGAGGAAGTCCGCAGTCTTCAGCCCGCTGCAGCACGGGCGGAGGAGTATACCTGGAGGAACGGAGCAGGTCATGATAACACAAAGGGTCACCACCCTCACAACTCCGCTCTCAAAGGCCACCCCGTGCGCTGGTGGCACTCCGTTCTGGACACCTTCTGGTGGCGCTCCAGGAACGGGGCGCCACCAGCTCGGGGGGGGGGAGCGGCCAGCCCCCCTAGCTGTTGGCGGTGGTTCGTTCTCCTCTGGCGAAGCAAGGGCATAGACATGAGCTTCCCGAGCTCTGTCGGAGACCTTCTCACCCGGGTCAATCCCAACCACGGCCAGTCGGGCCTCGCGGGATCCTGCAGGATCCTGCACGCAAGCCCGGGTCAGTGCACCCGTGGCTCTGCAGGGGCCTGCGAGATCCCGCGCTCTGACTGACCCCCGTCTGCTGTGACCCCCATCTCTTGAACCCCGGCTCCGCGCGGATGGCCCCATCCCTGGCGCGCGGAGGCGGCGCCGTGTTTTCCCAACCCTCCCTTGGCGGGGTTTTCACGTTGAACAGAATAGCGGGGTCGCCGACTCCGTTGTCCTCCTCCTCCTCCTCCTCCTCCTACTCCTCCTCCTCCTCCTTCTCCTCCTCCTCCTCCTCCTCCTCCTCCTCCTCCTCCTCCTCCTCCAACTCCGCTCCTCCTCATCCTCCTCCTCCTCCTCCTCCTCCTCCTCCACCTCCTCCTCCTCCGTTGTCCCCTCTCGCCTGCCCGTGCTTGCCTGCGCCCCGCCTGCTGGGGCAGCCAGGCCTGCCCCCCTCCCGCCCTGCCTGCTGGGGGGAACCAGCGCGGTGGGGCCCCACGCAGACCCAAACGGGACCTCGCCATCCCCGGGGGGGCTGCGACGTGTGAAAGTGTCGCCACTTTCGAGGGCTGCTGGGGGAACCGGCGCAGTGGGGCCCCACGCAAACCCAAACGGGACCTCGCCATCCCTGGGGGGGCTGCGACGTGTGAAAGTGTCCCCACTTTCGAGGGCTGCTGGGGGAACCAGCGCAGTGGGGCCCCACGCAAACCCAAACGGGACCTCGCCATCCCTGGGGGGAGCTGCGAAGTGTGAAAATGTCGCCACTTTCGAGGGCTGCTGGGGGAACCAGCGCAGTGGGGCCCCACGCAAACCCAAACGGGACCTCGCCATCCCTGGGGGGGCTGCGAAGTGTGAAAGTGTCCCCACTTTCGAGGGCTGCTGGGGGAACCAGCGCAGTGGAACCCCACGCAAGCCCAAGCGGGACCTCGCCATCCCTGGGGGGGCTGCGAAGTGTGAAAGTGTCTCCACGTTCGAGGGCTGCTGGGGGAACCAGCGCGGTGGGGCCCCACGCAAACCCAAACGGGACCTCGCCATCTCTGGGGGGGCTGCGAAGTGTGAAAGGGTCCCCACTTTCGAGGGCTGCTGGGGGAACCAGCGCAGTGGGGCCCCACGCAAGCCCAATCGGGACCTCGCCATCCCTGGGGGGGCTGCGAAGTGTGAAAGGGTCCCCACTTTCGAGGGCTGCTGGCGGAACCAGCGCAGTGGGGCCCCACGCAAACCCAAACGGGACCTCGCCATCCCTGGGGGGGCTGCGAAGTGTGAAAGTGTCCCCACTTTCGAGGGCTGCTGGGGGAACCAGCGCAGTGGAACCCCACGCAAGCCCAAGCGGGACCTCGCCATCCCTGGGGGGGCTGCGAAGTGTGAAAGTGTCTCCACGTTCGAGGGCTGCTGGGGGAACCAGCGCGGTGGGGCCCCACGCAAACCCAAACGGGACCTCGCCATCTCTGGGGGGGCTGCGAAGTGTGAAAGGGTCCCCACTTTCGAGGGCTGCTGGGGGAACCAGCGCAGTGGGGCCCCACGCAAGCCCAATCGGGACCTCGCCATCCCTGGGGGGGCTGCGAAGTGTGAAAGGGTCCCCACTTTCGAGGGCTGCTGGCGGAACCAGCGCAGTGGGGCCCCACGCAAACCCAAACGGGACCTCGCCATCCCTGGGGGGGCTGCGAAGTGTGAAAGTGTCCCCACTTTCGAGGGCTGCTGGGGGAACCAGCGCAGTGGAACCCCACGCAAGCCCAAGACGGGACCTCGCCATCCCTAGGGGGGGCTGCGAAGTGTGAAACTGTCGCCCCTTTCGAGGCTGCTGGGGGAACCAGCGCAGTGGGGCCCCACGCAAACCCAAACGGGACCTCGCCCTCCCCGGGGGGGCTGCGAAGTGTGAAAATGGCGCCACTTTCGAGGGCTGCTGGGGAACCAGCGCAGTGGGGCCCCACGCAAACCCAAACGGGACCTCGCCATCCCTGGGGGGGCTGCGAAGTGTGAAAGTGTCCCCACTTTCGAGGGCTGCTGGTGGAACCAACGCAATGGGGCCCCACGCAGACCCACACGGGACCTCGCTATCCCTGGGGGGGCTGCGAAGTGTGAAAGTGTCCCCACTTTCGAGGGCTGCTGGGGGAACCAATGCAGTGGGGCCCCACGCAAACCCAAACGATACCTCGCCATCCCTGGGGGGGCTGCGAAGTGTGAAAGTGTCGCCACTTTCGAGGGCTGCTGGGGGAACCAGCGCAGTGGGGCCCCACGCAAAACCCAAACGGGACCTCGCCATCCCTGGGGGGGGGCTGCGAAGTGTGAAACTGCCCCCCACTTTCGAGGGCTGCTGGGGGAACCAGCGCAGTGGAGCCCCACGCAAACCCAAACGGGGCCTCTCCATCCTTTGGGGGGGGGGCTGCGAAGTGTGAAAGCGTGGCCACGTTCGAGGGCTGCTGAGGGAACCAGCGCAGTGGGGCCCCACGCAAACCCAAACGGGACCTTGCCATCCCTGGGAGGGGCCGCGAAGTGTGAAAGTGTCGCCTCTTTCGAGGGCTGCTGGGGGAACCAGCGCAGTGGGGCCCCACGCAAGCCCAAACGGGACCTCGCCATCCCTGGGCGGGCTGCGACGTGTGAAACTGTCGCCACTTTCGAGGGCTGCTGGGGGAACCAACGCAATGGGGCCCCACGCAAACACAAACGGGACCTCGCCATCCCTGGGGGGCTGCGAAGTGTGAAACCGTCGCCACTTTCGAGGGCTGCTGGGGGAGCCAGCGCAGTGGGGCCCCACGCAAACCCAAACGGGACCTCGCCATCCCTGGGGGGGGGCTGCGAAGTGCGTGACCGTCGCCACTTTCGAGGGCTGCTGGGGCAACCAGCGCAGTGAGGCCCCACGCAAACCGGACCTCGCCATCCCTGGGGGGCTGCGAAGTGTGAAACTGTCGCCACTTTCGAGGGCTGCTGGGGGAACCAACGCAGTGGGGCCCCACGCAAACCCAAACGGGACCTCGCCATCCCCGGGGGGGCTGCGAAGTGTGAACATGTCGCCCCTTTCGAGGGCTGCTGGGGGAACCAGCGCAGTAGGGCCCCACGCAAACCCAAGCGGAACCTCGCCATCCCTGGGGGGGCTGCGAAGTGTGAAAGTGTCAGCGCAATGGGGCCCCACGCAAACCCAAACGGGACCTCGCCATCCCTGGGGGGGCTGCGAAGTGTGAAAGGGTCCCCACTTTCGAGGGCTGCTGGCGGAACCAGCGCAGTGGGGCCCCACGCAAACCCAAACGGGACCTTGCCGTCCCTGGGAGGTTGCGAAGTGTGAAACTGGCGCCACTTTCGAGGGCTGCTGGGGGAACCAGCGCAGTGGGGCCCCACGCAAACCCAAACGGGACCTCGCCATCCCTGGGGGGGCTGCGAAGTGTGAAAGTGTCCCCACTTTCGAGGGCTGCTGGGGGAGCCAACGCAGTGGGGCCCCACGCAAGCCCAAACGGGACATCGCCATCCCTGGGAGGGGCTGCGAAGTGTGAAAATGTCGCCCCTTTCGAGGGCTGCTGGGGGAACCAGCGCAGTGGGGCCCCATGCAAACCCAAACGGGACATCGCCATCCCTGGGAGGGGCTGCGAAGTGTGAAAGTGTCCCCACTTTCGAGGGCTGCTGGGGGAACCAACGCAATGGGGCCCCACGCAGACCCACACGGGACCTCGCCATCCCTGGGGGGGCTGCGAAGTGTGAAAGTGTCGCCACTTTCGAGGGCTGCTGGGGGAACCAGCGCAGTAGGGCCCCACGCAAACCCAAACGGGACCTCGCCATCCCTGGGGGGGGGGCCGCGAAGTGCGAAAATGTCCCCACTTTCGAGGGCTGCTGGGGCAACCAGCGCAGTGGGGCCCCACGCAAACCCAAACGAAACCTCGCCATCCCTGGGGGTGGGCTGCGAAGTGTGAAACTGTCCCCACTTTCGAGGGCTGCTGGGGGAACCAGCGCAGTGGGGCCCCACGCAAACCCAAACGGGACCTCGCCATCCCCGGGGGGGCTGCGAAGTGTGAAACTGTCGCAACTTTCGAGGGCTGCTGGGGGAACCAGCGCAGTGGGGCCCCACGCAAGCCCAAACGGGACATCGCCATCCCTGGGAGGGCTGCGAAGTGTGAAAGTGTCGCCACTTTCGAGGGCTGCTGGGGGAACCAGCGCAACGGGGCCCCACGCAAACCCAAACGGGACCTCGCCGTCCCTGGGAGGTTGCGAAGTGTGAAACTGTCGCCACTTTCGATGGCTGCTGGGGGAACCAACGCAGTGGGGCCCCACGCAAACCCAAACGGGACCTTGCCGTCCCTGGGAGGTTGCGAAGTGTGAAACTGGCGCCACTTTCGAGGGCTGCTGGGGGAACCAGCGCAGTGGGGCCCCACGCAAACCCACACGGGACCTCGCCATCCCTGGGGGGGCTGCGAAGTGTGAAACTGCCCCCACTTTCGAAGGCTGCTGGGGGAGCCAACACAGTGGGGTCTCACGCAAAACCAAGAGGGACCTTGCCGTCCCTGGGAGATTGCGAAGTGTGAACATGTCCCCACTTTCGAGGGCTGCTCCGCGGAGGCCAGCACAGTGGGGTCCCATGCAGACCCAAACGGGACCTCGCCATCCCTGGGGGGCTGCGAAGTGCGAAATGTGAAACTGTCGCCACTTTCGAAGGCTGCTGAGGGGGCCGGCACAGCGGGGTCCCACGCAAACCCAAACGGGACCTCGCCATCCGTGGGGGGCTGTGAAATGTGAATCAGTCGCCACTTTCGAGGGCTACGGGCCTGGGCAGCACAGTGGGGTCCCACGCATACCCAAACAGGACCTCGCCATCCCTGGGGGACTGCGAAGTGTGAAAATGTCGCCACTTTCGATGTCTGCTGGGGCAGCCAGCACAGTGGGGCCCCACGCAGACCCAAATTGGACATCGGCAACCAAATGGGCCATCCAAAGGGCCGGCACAGAGGGGCCCCACGCAGACACCACCGGCGCTTCGCCATCCCTAGGGGGGTGCGAAGTGTAAAACTGTCCCCACTTTCGAAAGTTGCTGGGGAAACCAGCGCAATGGGGCCCCACGCAAACCCAAACGGGACCTCGCCATCCCTGGGGGGGCTGCGAAGTGTGAAAATGTCGCCCACTTTCGAGGCCTGCTGGGGGGAACCAGCGCAGTGGGGCCCCACGCAGATCCAACCGGGACCTCGCCATCCCTGGGTGGCTGCGAAGTGTGCAAGTGTCGCCACTTTCGAGGGCTGCTCGGCGGGGGCCAGCACAGTGGGGTCCCACGCAAATCTTACAAAGGCCTCGCCATCATCTCGCTGCTTCTGCCGAGGTGACTGTCCTTCCACCCCGACGTCCTCCTCTTGCTCCTCCTTCCCAGTAGAATGCCCCCTGGCTTTTCGTACCTCTGCTCTGCGAGTCGGCCACGCACACTCCGCACGACTTCGATATCCGCCGTGCACCGTCTCTGCAGCGCTGCTGTCGCATTATCGCCGGCACACCTGATACCGTCTTTTGATTTGTGTTGCCCCCATCGTTCTTAAGGACCACATCACACAAAAAAATCGAGCACCCAGAAAGGTGTCGAAAGAGTGTCCAAACAGTGTCGGACGAGCGTCCCCCCAGGGCCCGACACGTGAAAACCCTTGAGTTTCGGTACTTTTGTGGTGCTCGAAATTCTGTCTGGCGATGACTTGAGGGATGAAAAAACGACCTTGCACTGGGTTACAAGTGCGCGGTCTGTAAACCTCCTGGGAACCCCCAAAGCCTAGAGCCGCCAGGACGCGGCACACCACGCAGGGCTTACCCTGGCAGCCCACAGGGGTTTCAGCGCACAGCGCCTCGTAAACCAGAGTAGGGGCGTTTTTTCTGCCCTTGACTTCTGGTGCTCGAAACTCTTTCTGTCTAGGCCTCTTAGATGGGGTCGGAGTAGATGGGGTCGAAGGATCGCGCCGCATCGCCGATGCATCGCCGATGCGGCTCGATGTGCAGCACGATTTGCGTCACGTCGACGTCGCCGATGCATCGCCAACGTCGACGATGCATCGCCGGTGCATCGCCGATGCATCGCCGATGCATCGACGATGGATCGCCGATGTGTCGGCGATGCGGCGCGATCCTCCGACCCCATCTACTTCGACCCCATGTAGGAGGCCTCTCTTCTGGCGATGAAGGCTAAAGTCGGTTGGAACGTCATAGCCTTTGGTGCCAACGGCCCAGACCCCCGACGTCATGATTTTTTCCATGACGCGACCCCCAGAGGTCTGGACCCATTCCCCGGGACCGGCTTTTCATCCTGAATCGTTTTTTGACGCTCCCGCGGCCCGGTGAGGACCTCCGGAGGGCGAGAATAGCGAAAAACCTTCCGTCGTGATTTTTTTCACGACGCGAGGGGGTCTGGGTCTGGCGATGAAGGCTAAAGTCGGTTGGAACGTCCTGGCCTGTGGTGCCAACGGGTTGGGCGCTCTCCGCAGGGGATTGCGCTCCCCTCGGCGCGCGGAGGCCTGCGCGCCCGGGGCGGCGCGCGGATGGCGGCGCGCGGAGGCCCCCGGACATCCCGACGTCATGGCTGTCTGTGGAGCAGGGACCGACCGTCCCCGGCAAAACTAGCCAGCCTCGAACGTATCCCTATCCCTAACCCAGACCCCCTCGAGTAATGAAAAAATCATGACGGGAGGTTTTCCTTCATTTTCGGCCTCCAGGGGCCCTCACCGGGCCTCGGGAGCGTCAAAAAACGACTCAGGACGAAAAACTGGTCCCGGGGAAAGGGTCGGGACCTCTGGGGGTCGACGTAATGAAAAAATCATTACATCGGGGGTCTGGGAACGTATCCCTATCCCTAAGTTGGGCGAGCAAAAGGCGAGGACAATCTTAGGGATTGGCCCTCAGAAGCGGAGGGAGTCCTTGAGATCGGCATCGAGGTGAGGTGATGTCAAACATAGGGATAGGGATATGTTTCAAACTGGTGATAGACAGTGAAAACGTATAGTAAGGACGCGTGGCAAGGACGCAAGACCCTTGGAGGCCGAAGTTGAAGCATTCTGGGCGGCGGGCGGCCACACCCCCAGGGAACCTGAGAAACTGGCCTGCGAAAATTGCTAGGGACGGGCCGCAGAGGCTGAGGCAGGCAAGGACCCAAGGGTACCCTTGAAAAAACCGTTTGTCCTTGCTATGCGCGTTGACTGTAGTCCTACCACGAAATGTTCTTGGACCCAAAACCGTTCTAAGAACCAAAGCAATGTTCTTATAGCATAAGCCCGATGTGTGGAAACAGGACAGTCCCAGCCAGAACTGCTCCAAGAACACTCCGTGGGAACAGCCAATTAGCTTCGTAGAACACTGCTTGGGTAGGACTGTGGGCACGCCAGGACGCTCCGCCGCTGCTCGATTCTCCATGACGTCGACCTCGGAGGTCTGGACCCCTTCCCCGGGACCGGCTCTCCATCCTGTAGGGCGACGAAATCTATACATATCCACTGCTCCCAGGCCAGGCCCATCCTCAACCCCGCAGCGGTGTATACGCCACGCCCTCCTGGCTTGGCCAGGAGGGCGCATACACAGCTCCTGGGTTCAAGATGGGCATGGTCAGGGAGCAGTGGATATGTATAGATTTCGTCGCCCGATCCTGGGCCATCTTCTTGGCGGCCCCGGGGCCCTGTGAGGGCCCCGGGGCGCCGACGACTGCAAGAAGCCTCCGCCTCGCGGCTTTCGTGCCGCCCGGTGCCTGGGCCCCCTGCCGAGAGAGCCAGCACGACAGGAGCCCAGACGCTCGCGCCGGTCGGCGCCGGCCCCCCCCCCCCCCCTAGACATCGGGCGTCAATTGGCGGCGCGCACGAGGGGGCAGGGGGAGGGGGGGAGGCTTCTCAGAAGGAGGCTGCTTCTTAGCAGGCGCCGGGGCCTCACGTCTATAGACAGGGCCGGCGCCTTCTAAGAAGCAGGGGCGCTTCTAAGAAGCCCTCCCCCCTCCCCCCACCCCCTTCCGCGCGTGGCTGAGTCAAGAAAAAATCGGGACGGTGGCTTCTTGAAGTCTTCGGCACCCCGGGGCCCTTACAGGGCCCCGGGACCGCCAAAAAACGGCCCAGGATGAAAAACCGGTCCCGGGGAAGGGGGCCCAGACCTCTGAGGCCGACGCCATGAACAAGTCATGACGTCGGGGGTCTGGGGGGGCGTCGTGCGGGCCCGGCGCCGCAAAGCTCCGAACACGCATGCTTATACAAGTCGGGGATCTTCTGACCCGTGCCAATCCAGACCCGGGTCAGTCAGCCCTTGCAGAATCCTGCAACCTCCTGCAGGATCCTGCACCCAAACCCGGGTCAATGCGAAGGATCCTGCAGGATCCTGCACCCAAACCCGGCTCAATGCGACCCTGGCCGTGCAGGATCCTGCAAGATCGGGCGCTCTGGCTGACCCCCGTTTGCATTGCCCCCCGTCTCAAGGCTCCCGAACAAGTTTTCCTGCCTCGGGCACCGGCGAGCTGAGGCGACGGTTGGGTGATCCGCAGGTCCTCCCCCAGGTGCACCACCGCGTCGCACAGCTGGGAGAGCAGCCCGTCCGCTGCAGCCTCCACGCTCTGCGACTTCCTGGCCTCCAGCACGGCCCGGAACTGCGCGTACCGGGCGCAGTCTATGCCGTAGATGGTGCTCCATATGGCAGCGCAGAGGTACATGTGGAAGCTGGCGTGCCAATCTGCAGCGTGGCAGCTGTAGCACAGCGCAGAGAGCAGCACGTTCAGATACGTGGACGTCGCGAGCTCGCCGAGCATGACACTGGCCCCGAGACGCACCGGTGCTGTACTGGCCACCCAAGTGGCGAATCCAATTCCGTTCTGCACAGTTGCCTCAATCGCAAGCCGCACATACACCATGGCGAATCCGAAACGAATGAAGGTGGGATTCCTAAGTTGCGGGCACGTGCAAAAAAGAAGTGTGATCAGGTGCCTGAACATAACCAAAAAACATTCAGACCTTAGCTGCGCCAAGTCCACGTCGGAGGGCACCTCATACCAAAACCAGGCCGAAACAGTCCACAGGCGACGTCGGCGGAGAACATTGAGCAACAGCAGGGTGTTCAAGAACAGAGCGAGGGGCAGCATGTTCGTGCAGACTTCAAGCCGGGACATTACCATCATCTGCCGTATTTTCTTTTCCATGGGGTCTCGCTCAGAAGGTTGGAGCAGATGTTCACGCACGGACGCTATGGCACTACGGCCCCGACGTGCAGCAGACTTACATGAGTCGCGGATGCTCTCCCCGGGGAACGAGCGAGCGACGATGTAGCATGCGGAGGCAAACTGCACCACGCCCCAAACCAGCATCAACTGGAGGCTGACCAGAGCGACCGACATCCGCGCGCGCGGAAGCTCCACTGGGGAACTCGCGACCACGCCGCCGCCTGATGCTTGAGACTTCGGCCTGAATCCGCCGAACCCCTCGGGGGCACAGGGCTGGACTCCTGCACTGTTTTCTTTGGTATGTCCTCTGTGCTTTCTCCATTGCCTCTCCAGTCCTGTCTCCGTTACGGTCAGGAGGTGTTGCTTAGCGTGTCACGGCGGCACGCTATGCCTTGCGAGCAGATGGCGCGTCGTGGGCGAGAGGTTAAGATTAGCTCGGGACGTTGACACTTGGGACTGGACATTGGATGGCGCGCCGCGCCCAAGCGTGGTGGGCCAGAGCCGGCGGCGCAACACGCTGAGCCAAGGTTCCTGATCGTATGCCTTTTGTGTTTTCTCCCTGGCCTCTCCAGCCGTGTCCCTCCATCGTGCTACAAGCGGGGGGGGGGGCGCCAAGCGAGGGGGGGGGGGGGGGCGCGACGTCATAATTGAAGGGGCCCTGGGGCACACAAATAAGCACACACACACAAATAACCAGATCCCCCTCATTTCCCCAATATTTTCTGGGTTTTCGTCTCCCCCCCCACTCCCCATATTTTCCCGTATTGTCTGGTGGATCGACGATTAATTGTGTCTGTGTGCTTTTTCCCCTCCTGGAGAGCAGGAGACGTCCGGGGCGCGTGGGCCCTAGCCTCGACGACCTCCGTCGCCGCCCCCCCTTCGGCAACTTGCACCGATCCGCACGACCTGTTAGTCCACCGCCTCCCGCTGCCTGAGGCTGCACGCGCGATCCTCAATCGAGCAGGGACCGACCGTCCCGGCATTCCTAGAGGCCTACCACAAAATGTTCTCAGAACCAACAAATGTTCTAATAACGAAAGCAGTGTTTTTGGAACATGAGCCAGGTGTGATAAAACAAGACAGTCCCAGCCATAAATGTTCTAAGAACACTTCGTGGAAACCACCAGAAAAGGTTATTATAACATTGTTTGGTAGGCCTATAGGCACACCAGGACGCTTCGCCACTGCTTGACTCAAGGCGTCGACTCTCTACGTGAGGTTCGTGACGTGCCGACTTCGGCGGGCTGCTTCTGATGCCGCGGGGATCGCTCAACCTGGAACGATTGGACGTTGCCGAAACGTCCTCAACCGTTCCGCGTCGAACGATTCCAAAGCGCCCGCGGCGCTCGACGCTGAACGCCGCTGGTGGGGTCGCCGCCGGTCGACGCGACACGAGCCTACAGTCAACCCGTGCAGTAAGGATGTGCGATAAGGATGCAAGGGCCTTGGACGCCTAGTTCGAAGCTCTTCGAGCGGGGCGCGGCCAGCGAAAGTGGCCAAGGATTGACCGAGGAGGCAAGGATGCAAGGGTACCCTTGGGAAGGTTGCCCATCCTTTCTACATGGCAGTTTTTAATGCATGGGATTCTAAAATATATCGAAATTTAACCCTGGGAAGCAAACAGTACCCCCCCCGGCGATATCGTTAGCACAGAAAATAAATAAATAATTATTTTGGGCGGCGCCCTCCGGCGATATCGTTAGCACATTAAACATAACATAAAATAATTAATTAATTTGCCCCCCCCCGGGCCAGAAACGCACATAATCACAGGAAACGACTCTGGGCAGGTGTGCCTTGTCGCTGGGCTCTGGACTACAAGGGGACCGGGCATTCAGAGGCTTGCGGAGACCTTTCTGGATGCCTCCTGGGAACCTCCGGGGACCTCCCCTCCGCGGACCTCTGGTGACCTGCGGGGAATATCGCTTCCGCCCCGGCCCCGGTGCCGGAAGCGTTATAATTTCCTCTGATGAGGGGGGGGGGGGGGAGGGGGGTTTACTGATTGCTTCCCAGGGTTAATACATGATTAATTTATGAATAAATGCATGCGTGAACTCATCGTTGCTTTTAATACTAAATCCCTGCATTTTTTCACACAGGATCCGCACGCTTTTTTCGGTCGCGTCCACCAGCGAAGGCGCTAGCGGAGTCAGAAGCGCCACGGGTCACGAAAGCGTCCTAATTAGCAGCTGAACTCGCCGAATACATGATCCGCACGCGGAGCATGTGTAAAAAACGGCACTCTTTGCGGGTTGACTGTGCAGCACGCCCGAGTCTGCCCTCTCCTCCTCGTCCCCACCCCTCCCGGGGTGCCCCCGGCGCGTTGCGCGGCCCGCCGGCACTCCCGGACGCGCCGGCGACGCCCTCGGTGCCGGCAGGCTGGCCATCGCTCGGACGGCCACTCTCTGTGTGTTTTTTCCGGTTTCGTGCGTGGTCTTTTCCGTAAGTGATCAAGGGTGCTCCTCGATGGTCCTCGCCGAAGGAAAAATGCACACGTCCGAGCGGTGCCTTGCAGGAGGAGTGCCTCGGCCTCCTGGCCGGTGCGCCGCGAGAGGCTCCACGACCTCTGCCGGCCTTCGGCTCGCGCGGAGGCGGCCGCAGGTTGCTCCAAGACTGTCCCTGAGGGTCTCAGGATTCGCCTGGATCCACCGGGAGCTACAGTCATCGGCCTGACCTCAGGAACGATAAATAAGGAACGAAGCCTTTTTTTTTATCCCAAGATATAACGCATAAGGAACGAGAAATAACAAATAACGCATAAGGAACTGTAAATAACGCATGCAAGCCTAAGGAACGACCGAGCCCCTTTTGAAAAGTAAGTGTTCCTTATTCAAGCCGCCCACTGTACCAGGATCTGCTCGGATTTCCTTGCGCCTGCTTGGATTTCTCTGGGTTGATCTTGCTCGATCCCCACAAAGTCGATGGACGAGAAGTCGTCAAACCCTCGGGGAATCCAGGTTGGCCCAGGGCTCCCCAACACACCGGCCAGGAGGGCGGCCCGTCAGGGCGTCGAAGACGGCCCCTCGAGGCCCCTCGAGAGCCCAGAGGCGGCCGAGGGCGGCCCGAATATGCTGCGGAAGCCTTCCTCAAGAGCCCAAGGCCGCGCCAACGGCGTGCTTGCTGAGCGGTGCCGTTGGGGATCTGGATGTTGTGACACCGAGCTGACGCAGAACAAGATGTAGGAAATCACGAATCACCGCTTCCTCTGTTTCCGCGGTGTGAACGTAGCAAACGAAAACGGCACAGCGAGTTGTGGGAAAACACGAACCACGCGTTCCTACAATTTGTTTGGCCACGGCCACGGACCACCCCTTCCTACAATTGGTTGCCCTACATCGCCGTTAGCTAGAACACCGTTAGCGCGTCTACGAAGAACCAGACGACGACCCCGAGAGACAATAATTATGATCAGCGGCTGTGTTGTCGATCGAATGTTTTCCACTGTCCCATGTCGTCTTCCTGGGGCGTCCCAAGAAAGACCGCTTCGAATGCTGGCTGCAGAACACCGGGTACAGCCCAAGACGGCCTCAAGGTGGCCGCGAAATTCTCGAAGATGCCATAATGATCGCCAAGCATTGCCTAACAAGGCCCCGAGATGCCTCCAATATTGGCCCGAAAGGCTTCAGGAGAGCCCCGAGACTGCCCAAAATGTCCCACAGGAAAGCCGCGAGGGCCTAATATGCACAGTCTACCACCAAGACGGCTGCCGACCTGCTCCAACATAGCCATCCGGTGGTTCAGACAGGGGGGCTGGCGGCAGACGGCACAGCCCTTCAGATGTCCCCGGCCCAGACGGCTTGAGAAAAAGTGGTAAGGTGTAGGGAATGTAAGAGAGAGGAAGTAAAGCAGAAACGGCAACATGACTGTGTCATACCAGTGCATCAGGGGGCCGCTGCCGCACTGCCATCTCACCAACACTCAAGACTTTCAGCTAGAGCTCCCTCGTGGTCGGAATCTGGGGACGAGACCGACGTGAAAGGGAAACACACAACTGGGAATTCGGCTTCGGCTTCGGTTCGTGGCATGTGTAACGCACGTGCGGGCGAGGCGATGCCGCACGACGGTTGGTCCGAGTTTGTCCTGTAATTGTCACGTGGTTGTCCCGTGGTTGTCCCGTGGTTGTCCAGTGGTTGTGCCGTGGCCGTCCCGGGGTTGCCCCGTGATGGTTCTGTGGCTGTTCGGTGGATGTCCCGGGGATGTCCCGTGCTTATCATGTTTTTGTCCCGTGGTTGTCTCGTGGTTGTCCTGCGGTTGTGCTACAGCCTCGTTGATGCATCCTGGGTTGACGCTGGCCTTCTCTCCTTCTCCTCCACCCGAGGGCCCCAGCTAGCAATGTTTGCGTCTTCCAGAGGTAGGCTCGAGGCCTCTCACGGATTTGTCTTCACCCCAAGGGATCTCCAGAGGGCCCGCTGAGTCCCCAATGCCTCGGACACCACCAGAGCCACAATCCCTGCGGCTCCTTAGCCTGTGCCAAAGGCCGTGCGACGGGACACACAGCAAGGCTTGGACAGCCCTGGCAAGAGAACAGTGCGAGGCCACAATGCCGTAAGTCGAGTACGCAAGTAGGGGCAAAGCCCCCAACACGCCTGCCCGCCCTGTGGCGACGGGCTGCAAGCCCGTCGCAACAGGGTGTGCAGTCGAGGCCTCTCAAAGAGTGCCTGCGAGCACGTGCGAGCGCACGCTTCGCTCTGGGTGCCTTCCGTGGTGCGTTTTTGGGGGCGGTCTTCCCCGCTCTCGCAGCCGAGGGCCGGACGCGCCCCCCCCCCGTAAGTACGCCTGCCGGCAGAGCCAGAAGACGGCCCCAAGAGGTCTGCAAGAGACGCCCACAGGTCGCCGCATCCGAAGTGTTCGGGGCGGCTCGGCCCGATCTCTGCTGCAGATTTACGGGCGCCCTCCTTCACCTTTCACTGTGCACGCCTCCACTTCCCTGCTCACCGCAGCTCACACATGGATTTGGTTCTGGCATGGTCCGACGCGGGCACGCGAAGCGCCAATAATCTGCTCGGCTCGGGTGAACGGCTCTCGACTACACGAGCCAAAAGGGGCACGGATCAGGAGATTCAGGAGGACGGAGGGGGCGAAGAGAGAAAGAAGGGATGATGATGAGGACGAGGAGGAGGAGGAGGAGGAGGAGCAGCAGGAGGAGGAGGAGGAGGAGGAGAGGGGAGGAGGAGGAGGAGGAGGAGGAGGAGGAGGAGGAGGAGCAGAGGAGACTGGGAGGAGGAGGAGGAGGAGGAGAATGGGAGGAGGAGGAGGAGGAGGAGGAGAAAGGGGGTTGTGAAGTCAGCGTCCCTCAGAGAGGAGGAAGAGGAGGAGGAGGAGGAGGAGGAGGAGGAGGAGGAGGAGGAGGAGGAGGAGAATGGGAGGAGAATGGGAGGAGGAGGAGGAGGAGGAGGAGAAAGGGGGTTGTGAAGTCAGCGTCCCTCAGAGAGGAGGAAGAGGACGAGGAGGAGGAGGAGGAGGAGGAGGACGATGACGACGCGCGGGAAGATTGGAGGCAAGAGGGCCGAGGCTGCGTCGAGGCTTACCGAATCATGCGGGCACGGGCAGCTCGGCGGAGGTGCGCCCCGGGACAGCTCAGGCACCCCCGCCGATCTGGAGGCGGCGCTTGGCCATCTGCTTCTTGGTGAACTTCTTCGGCTTCACCTCCTCGGTGGGGGCCTCCACGGACTCGTCCTTCTCCTCCAAGATCATCTCGATGTGGCACGGGTTCGACATGTACGGACCGATGCGCCCGTGGGCCCGGTAGGTGCGGCGTCGGCCCTGCTGAGCGGGGTTCACCTGGATATGCTTGACGAACAGGTTATCCGTGTCGAGGTTCTTGAAATCCGCGTTGCTCTCCGCATTCTGGAGCAGGCCCAAGAGGATCTTCGCGGACTTCACCGGCCACCGGCCCTGCGACATCTTGAACGCCTTCGCCTGGGGGGTGCGCCCGATGCAGCCCGTGTACTTCCGGAAGGGGACGCACTGCTTCTTCTCGCACACGTCCCGCAGGTACGCCTGCGCGGCCTTCAAGCTCATGCCCTTGATCGCCTGGGCGGCCTCGTACGTGTTCTTGTAGTGGACGCGGAGATCCTGGGGAAACCCAGATGCACCGACCCCGCTACTCCCCGGGCCTCTCCCGGGGTGCGTCCTGACCAGAATGCCGAGGGGAATCCAGCGGTGGCGACGAGGGCCTCCCAGGAGGAGGAGGAGGAGGAGGAGGAGGAGGAGGAGGAGGAGGAGGAGGAGGAGGAGGAGGGGGGGAGGAGGGGGAGGAGGGGGCGAATCCAGCGGTGGCGACGAGGGCCTCCCACGAGGGCGAACAACACACGGGGGGAGCACGGAGGCGGAGGGGCCGCGGCAGGAAGGTGCCGTTCGCCGCTCCGCGGTCCACGCCCTTGGCCTTGCAGGCCTTGCTGGGGTTGGCCGCCTCCCGCGAGTACTTGCCCATCGCTCCCCGGCGCGCGCGGCCTCCGCGCGCTCCGCCCGTGCCCCCCGCGCTCGGCCCCGCGGACTGGCGCCCCTGCGCCGCGCTGCGGAGGCAGGCGCGGAACAGTGTTTTGATCCGCGGGTCGAGGGCGCACCCCTCCCGGTCGAGGCTCCGCGGGCCGCGCGCAGCTCGAATTGAGGCAGAGACGGGGGAGGAAAAGGGGGGCGCAGCCTCGGAACGAGGCCGGGAGGAGGCAAAGCCTCGGGATCGGGCGGTGCCGTAGACGCAGGCGCGGAACAAGGGGGGGAAGGAACAGGTGGCGCAATAGCACGACAACTGGGAGGTCTGCGCGGACTGCTCGGATCGGCGCTGGGCCCCCCTCCCTGGCGCCGGAGGCGCCGCCGTGGGGCCCCAGCGCCGATGCGAGAGGTCTCCTAGTGCCACCGAGTGTTTGATGTTTACGTCACTGGGCGTTCCCCGAACAGGTCGGAACTATGAAAGACGACACCAACATCAGCAGGGCGAGGAGGTGCGAGGAGGCAAGGGCAGTCTCCCTGGTGGTGTGGTCCCCCAGCATCCGGCATCCAGCTCGGGGAGGCACCGTGGACCTCCTCGCTGGAGGTGGGCCCCCTGGCGGTGTTGGTATCGCTCCTCCTCCCTCCGAGACAGGAGGGCCGACCGAGAGGGCCTCGTGCCCCCCCCCTCCGCGAGGCCCTCGCCCTGCCTCGGCGCCCCCCCCCCCCCCCCCTCGCTGCCCCCCCCCCCCCTTGGCCTGCGGGGCCCGGCCTGTCTCCGCGGGCGCCCGGAAGAGGCTGGACCCAGCCTGGAGGGCCCGAGGCCTCCGACGAAGTCGGGCGCGCTCCCAGAGGACCCCGGAGGGAGGGAGGGAGGGCGGGAGGGAGGGAGGGAGGGCGGGAGAGTTCCCTATGGGGCCACGAAGCGTTTGAGGGGTGTGCCGACATGGGTGTGCGGGACGCACGTGGACGGTGGCACCGGAGCCTTCGGTGGAGTTCCCTATGGGGCCACGAAATGTGTGAGGGGTGTGCCGACATGGGTGTGGGGGACGCATGTGGACGGTGGCACTGGAGCCTTCGTTGGAGCTCCCTTTGGGGCCACGAAATGTGTGAGGGGTGTGCCGACATGGGTGTGGGGGACGCATGTGGACGGTGGCACTGGAGCCTTCGTTGGAGCTCCCTTTGTGGCCACGAAAATGGTGAGGGGTGTGCCGACATGGGTGTCGATGATGATGACGACAACGGCGATGATGATGGCGATGATGTTGATGATGACGGTGATGCTGATGATGCTGATGGTGCTGATGATGATGAGAACAGGACGGGGAGGAGGAGGGGGGAGGGGAGGAGGAAGGAAGGAAGGAAGGAAGGAACGCGGGAGCCGTCCCTTCAAAACGAGGACCCAACACCACAAGATAGTTGGCAAAACACTCAAACAGCCATTCACCTGTCAAGCGGACACAACACGGGCAGTCCAAACGCCCAGGGATCGGCACAGCTGAAGGATACACTTGAAGTTGTAAGTTGCTGCCTTGTCGAAATGATAAGCGGGCCAAATGCCAACTGCAGGGGAACGCAGTTGGTGATACATGCAAGCCTTGGGTCAAAAATAACAATAATGCGATCGGGGAAGAAGTACACTCACGACACCGATGTGAACGCCGACCCCATGACGAACGGAACGTGAACACAACCTTACCGAGACGCTGATGCGCCCAAATCCCCAAGAGAGAAGAAATCGAAGACCACCCTCTGCCCTGGCCAAGAGCAAATATGTCACATACCATTGGGATATAACAAATTGAAGCCGAAGTATGACAGCAACTTCATACGACCGTCCCCACAGCACGCGCGCAAGAAGAACATGCTGCAAAAAGTGCGCCCACAAGTGCTCCATTGCAAGAGGCTCCTGTTGAGGATCGCGCGTGCTCCTGCAATCCTCAACAGGCGCCCCCTGCACCCCAACTGCTAAGACGTCATGAGTCTCGGCGCCCCCGAAAGTTAAGCACCGATCGTAGAAGCCTGTGTTCTCCGGACACGCGGAGGGGGGGGGGACGGGAGGCGCGGCTGGACGGCCCCCCACAAGCTCCAGGAGATGCTGCGCCGCATCAGCAGTCGAACAAAGAAACATACCAACGCCCCTCCTCCTCCGCCTCCTTTTGCTTGCTCTCCCCCTCTTCCTCTGCCCCCACCCCGCCTGCGCTCGGGGCGCCCGAATGGAGCAGGGGGGACGAGGGAGTGCCAGGAACGAAGAGGGAGGAGGGCGAGGACGCCCCGACGCGGGCAGAATCACGGTGGGAAGAGGTGGCCAAAAGAGCGAGCACCGGCAGCGGAGCGCTGTGTATCGTTCTCGTGAAGCGATCGGTTCCCGTTGCTCGGCCTCCGCGTCCGCAGCAGCGACGGACTGCCAGAAAGGAAGAAACCTTCGATCGGACGCTCCCGCGTATCCTCACAGGAGCAAGCAGTGACATGAACATGAACGTCCAGAGGTCCGCGCGAATTCCCTGGATCGGCGCTGGGAAACCTTCCTGGCGCGCGGGGCGCGCTAGGGGCGGCGCCGAAGGCGCCGCCGAGGGGCTCCAGCGTCAATCCAAGAACTCTGCGCGGAGCTCCGAAACTTTCTGTCTACGCCGTGCTCAGATCCCCAACGTCATGATTGTGCAGAACGTCGACCCCCATAGGTCTCGACACCTTCCCCGGGACGGGCCTTTCCTCCTGCGTCCTTTCCTGACGGCCCCGAGACCCGGCGAAAGCCCCAAGAGGCCGAAAGTTGTGAGAACAAACGCCGGCGTGATGTTATCATGACTCCAGGGGGCCTGGGTCCCAGAGATCCGATGTCGTGATTTTTTCAATACGGGGTCCCTGGAAGTCTCGACCCATTCCCCAGGACCGGTTTTTCATCCTGAGTCGTTTTTTGACGGTCCCGAGACCCGGCGAGGGCCCTTAGAAGTCGAAAACAGCGAAAAACCTCCGTCTTGATTTTTTCAATGCGTTGGATCTCTGGGGTTTCTCTGCTCCTCGAGGCGAGGGGGGTCCTCCTCGACCGACCGCACCCGCGCATCCCGGCGGCTGGCCAGGGCGGGGGCGGCAAGGCCCAGGCCTGCGCACGGGCAGCCCGCGGCCCCCGCGTGGGCAGCCCCTGCCGCCCCCCCAGCAGGCCCACGGCAGGGCTGAACCTGAGCGGTGTGTTTCGTTTCCGTTGTGTCTTTCGTTATCCCCGCGGCTTTGCCTTCCAGCCGCCATCACGCGAAACGACATCGAAACGGAAGCGGCCCTCGAGATCACCCAAAACACCGTCTAGGTCCAGCCCACAGCAGGGCTGAACCTGAACGGTGTGTTTCGTTTTCGTTGTGTCTTTCGTTTTCCTAGTTTTTGTCATCGTTTTCCCTAGTGTTCCTTGGGTTTTCGTTTCCCCTCGTTCTCCCTCGTTTGCCTTTCCCTCGTTGCCTTCGTCTTCCCTCGTTTCGCCTTCCTTGTGTTTTCGTTTTTCCTTGTGTTTTCGTTTTCACTCGTTTCTTCGTAACGCGAAACGAAATCGAAACGGAAGCGGCCCACGAAAGCACCAAAAACACCGTCCAGGTCCAGCCCTGGCCCACGGGGTGGCCTTAAGTCGGGCCTGTCCCACTACAGGGGGATTTTCGACAAAAACAAAAAAATACCCCTAGAATAGTCCAAACATGATCCAATAATCGTCTGGGGACTATTCTTGGAATATGTGTTGACCTTTTTGGAGCATTTTTTGGTGCAGTTTTTACTTTTCGCCGAAAATCCCCCAGAATAGTCCAAACATAATCCAATCATAGTCTGGGGACTATTCTTGGAATATGGTTTGACCTTTCATTTTTTGGGTGTATTTTACCTAACAGCTCTTGCTGATAGTTTTCTAGTGGTCTCAAAAGAGAGCATCATGACTCCTCAGGGGGGTCTGGGCGGGACCCGGGGGCTGCCGCCGAAGCCGAAATCGCTTGGGACATCCTCGCAAAATCGCTCTTGGTGCTCCCAGAACTCCATTCCCGGGCCACATTTTGGATGCCCTGAGCCAACTGTAGGCCACTTCGTGCTCTTCGACTTCCCAGAACTCTATTCCCGGGCCACATTTTGGATGCCCGGAGCCAACTGTAGGCCACTTCGTGTTCTTCGATTTCCTAGAACTCCACTCCCGGGCCACATTTTGGATGCCCGGAGCCATCTGTAGGCCACTTCGTGCTCAAGTTCCCAGAACTCCATTCCTGGGCATGATTTTGAATGCCCGGAGCCAACTGTAGGCCACTTCGTGTTCTTCTAGTTCCCAGAACTCCATTCCTGGGCCACATTTTGAATGCTGAGGCAGGCTGATGCTGCGGCCGAGGCAGGCTGAGGCTGAGGCAGTCTGAGGCTGAGGCCGAGGCTGAAGGCAGACTGAGGCTGAGGCTGAAGCAGACTGAGGCTGAGGCTGAGGCAGGCTGAGGCTGAGGCTGAAGCAGGCTGATGCTGAGGCAGGCTGAGGCTGAGGCTGAGGCTGATGCAGGCTGAGGCTGAGGCAGCCTGAGGCTGAGGCCGAGGCTGAAGGCAGACTGAGGCTGAGGCTGAAGCAGGCTGAGGCTGAGGCTGAGGCAGGCTGAGGCTGAGGCAGGCTGAGGCTGAGGCTGAGGCAGGCTGAGGCTGAGGCTGTGACTGCGACTGCCGTTGCCGCTGCGACTGTCATCGCGAATGCGACTACGACTGCGAGAACAGCAGAATTCGACAACTGGATTTTCATCTGAATCTTAAGGGGAATGCTTTCAGATATGCTTCTACACATCGCTGTTAGGTTGCTTTGCCGGGATAATCTTACGTTTCGTCGAAAATCCCCCCAGAATAGTCCAAACATAATCCATTAATAGTCTGGGGGCTGCTCTTGAAATATATGTTTTGACCTCCTATGGGGGGCATTGTTTGGGGGTGCGTCTTACGTTTCGTAGGTTCTTGACCTTTTGGGGGGTATTTTTTTGTATATTTGTTGAAACATTTGGGGGGCATTTCTGGTTGACCTCTCTGGGGCATCCTTGGGGGTATTTTTTGGGGGCAGGTTTTGGGTATCCCCTGCGTTTCGGCGCACATCCCCCTGCAGGG